CCTACTCTGCCCCTTCTCCCTGGGCCTCCCCCATTCCAGCCCTTTCTCCCTGTGCCCTCCCATCCCCTCTCTGTCCGTGTCCCCTTGCCCCACCCCTGCCTGCACTGGGCTGAGGTCCAGCTCAGGGGCAGCTCACTCCTATGCCCACCTGGCACACCTTTGATACCTCCAGCCCCAAACCCACCAGGCCCATCCTCCCTTCCAGTCTTTGCTTCTTTGGTGCCTCTCAGATGGGAACCCTTCCTGGCCTGAGTAACCCCGCTGGACTCTTGCCTTCTCCTCTGATCCCCCTTCCCTGTTGGATGGGACAGTCCTCACCGCCGGCCAGTAGATGAGAGACGCACAAAGAGCTGGCTGGCACTGGGCACCACCTTCTGGATGAACACTTGCTGGTCATCCCGCTCGCCGTAGGGACCTGGGCCAGGCACAGGCAGGAGTCAGGGCCAGGCAGGGTCCCTGGGGCCTCCAGACCCCAAGGCTCCCTTCCCTACTGATGAACCCCCACCCGCTTCCTCTTCCCACCCCACGCCCAGGCTGCTGGAGTTGGGCAGGGCCAGAGAGAGCGGAGCTCAGGCACATCAGGGATTGGGTGCCCGGAGGTGGGGACCTGGGTCAGCTGGCAGCAAGTAGGATTCAGGGGGTCACTGAGTTCAACGGGGACCAGCTGGGAGTACATGGAGGGCAACGGGGGTCAGGTGGAGATCAGGAGGTCAACAGGGGTCAGCAGTCAATGGGGGTGGGAGCCTAGGTATTCCCTGGAGGTCAACCAGGTCAGCTGGCTGGGTCGGTAGAGGTCTACAGAGGGGATGGGGAACAGTGGGGTGGGGCCCGTGGCCCAGAGGCACCGATGTCGTTGCCAGCACTGCAGCCGCCATGGCCGTCAGCCGACTCCAGCGCCAGGATCTTGAAGGAGGCGAGCGGGGTGGAGCCAGGCTGGGTGGAAATCATGCCTCGGAAGCGAGTCACAGACCATGTCCTCACGTGGTTGTTGTCGGCACAGACTGGGGGCATGGGGACAGCAGGTCAGGCCTGGGCATGGCAGCATGGCAGCGTGGCCTTCCTGAGCCCTGGGACCAGCCCTCCAGTGGTGTCAGGATTCAGCCAGGTTTCAGAATTCTGAATTCTTCCCTTTCAGAATTCTCTCTTCCCAAACTCCAAATGGTCAGAAACGCTGTTGGCTCTGCCGCCACAGTCGCTCCAGAGCCTGACCTCAGCCTGCCCTGTCGGCTGCCTCAGCCTGGTCCTGTCCATCTCCTCTCCCCCAAGGCTCCCTGCTCCTGCCCTCACAGTGTGATCCTACATGAGCCAGGTGGAGCCTGTGAACCCCCGAGTCCAGCCACATCCCTCCTCTGCTCAGAGCCCTCCATGATTCCCGTCCCTGTCCACTCCCTGCCCTCATCTCCTCCTACTACTCCTCGCTCACTCCACTGTGGCTCCCTGCTCTTCCTCAAACACAGCAAATGTCCTCCCACCTCGGAGTCTTTGCAATACCCGTTCCCTCTGCCTGAACATTTGGCCCCACTGATCTGTGCAGCTCGTTCCCTCATTTCTGTTCCAAAGTTCTTCCTCTTGCCTTCCTTGAACCACCCCCTCTCCAGGGACCCAACACTAGCCACACACAGCTTCATTTTTATTCATGACCCTTATCACCACCTGATGTTGATAAGTGTTTTTATATCACTGTCTGCCATCCCCACTAGAACGTCAGCTCTGTGAAGGCAAGGACTTGGCCTGTCTTGTTTATCACTTTTTCCCTTATGCAGAGCATATAGTGGGTGCTCAATAATTGCTTGGTTTTTTTCTTTCTTTCTCTTTTCTTTTCTTTCTTTCTTTTTTTTTAAGATAAAAGGTCTTGCTATGTTGCCCTGGCTGGTCTTGAACTCTTGGGCTCAAGCAATCCTCTTGCCTTGGCCTCCCAAAGGATTACAGGTGTGAGCCACTGTACCCAGCCAATAATTGCTCATTGAGTTGATGGATGCACAAATTCATTCTCCCCCACTTCTGTAGTTACTGTCCCAGGTCAGTCCTCCCCCAAAGAACCCTCCCGCTACACAACGGAAGTCCTCATTCCCCTGGCTCCATGCTCTCCCATCTGAGCTGTCTCTCTCTGCTCAGCGAGGCCCACCTGAGATGAGATGCTTCTCCGACAGCATGATCTTGGTGACGGGGCTGCGGTGCACAGTGAAGGTCTGGAAGAGCCGAGGCCCCGAGCCTACCGTCTCAGGGTGCTGCACGATGACCCGTACACCCCCCGAGCTGGTGCCATAGGCAATCTCGATCCAGTTCCCACTGTCACCTGGGGAGGGGCCGAGGATGAAGAGAGGGCTTGGGTCACAGAGAGAAATGAAAGCAGAGAGAAAGAGAGACACAGAACAGAGTCAGAAAGCCAGGAGAGCCGGGCTCAGTGGCTCAGCCTGTAATCCCGCGCCTTTGGGAGGCTGAAGTGAGTG